CCTGCAACCTTATCTAAGATGTAAATGAGTTCTGAATCAATAAAGGGAATTTTTTTTTTCCCTTGGGTATGATCGTAGGACATGTTTCTTGTATATTTATGGCTCATGACATCATGTATAGGTTTTTTAAGGGGGTATGGCATTTAGGTACCCTTATAGTTTTCCTTTACTCTCTTGAAATTTTAATAAAATTTTCATTGATGGCCGCCCCTACATCTAAAACAAGTTAAAGGGATGAAGTATTAGGTGTTATATGAAGATATTCCCAATGTGTGATGGGATGGTATGTGAATAGAGTTTTTGTTGGCCAGTATTAATGATTTTATTGACGTGGCAATTGACTTGCTTTAAAAAAATTGTCCAGGATTAATGTGTTGTGAGATGATGTGTCCAGTATCCTCGAGTTCCCACAAACTCAATTGAGTAATAATAATGGCTCCCAAATAAATTTTAAATCTTAGAGCCAATGAATGATGAACATACAACGACTAACTATACACTTCGAATTGCGTTTAGCACCGCTATCCGGGATGATGGAAAGGAGTGATAGTGATATCGATCCGGTGATCCCCACCCAAACCCAAACAATGTGAATGCAGATGCACCTCAACTCAATTTTATGAATCGATGATAGACTCTCTTCCCAAAGGAGATGTTTGATTGTTTTCCCCATCAACAAATCTCTCTCCACATTAGCTTTAACATCAATGTTGACTGACTTCTTATTATCTTTAATTACAACGAGAAAGCAAATGCTGCAATCGATGATAGTGGCCCCCTTACTCGTTATATCAAAGAAGTGACGAGATCATCAGATGAGAGTGAGAGAGCCGAGCCGAATGCACTTGAAGAGAATGAATGATCCTTTTTATTCGGTTAAAAACCGAATTTAATTAATATATATTATAACCTATAATATATATATATATATATATATATGAATTTCATATTATATAATATATTAATATATAAATATATAGTATATTATACATTAAATATTAAATATTGTGTATTATATATATTACATATTACATAATGAATTTCAGTTAATTTGATTTTTTCAATTAACTGAATTTCTAATTCTGAAAATCGAAATTCCTAAAAACCGAAACCGAAATTTTCAGTTCGATATTTTGATTTTAACCGAATAATGCTCACCCCTAAGTATACATGTGGAGAAGAAAATGATGAATATATAAATTAACATTATATAATCAAATTTAGACCCAAAACTAACACAAGTATATGCTTATTGTTAATAGATGTAGCTGTGCGACTAAAGATTAATATGTTTGGATTAGTAGAATATAAGAAAGGAACAGAAAGCTGAGAAAAAAGTTTTCTGACAGATTTTGTGAAGTTTCTTCAGAACTTCCCCTCAACTTTCCATTCCTCTCTTTTATTCTATCAAATAGTTACCATTTTGATTTGATAGAATAATCCCCTTTCCCAAAGTGAACTTGCAAAAAAAGATGCTAACATTCAAACGGAATTAACAATATGGTGTATCAATCAACATCATAGACTTGTCCAACTATGAAGATCTCATAAGACAAGATCTGAATCATATCATTAGTAAGCTTCAAAATTCCATAAAAAACAAAATGTATTAAGTCATGTGATCGATATTCTCTGATTGATCATGTGCCTAGAAAATGTCCCTGGCTGTTGGTGTCATTAAGAGTCTGAATTTCCTCCCAACAAAAAAAAAAAATATATTCCAACAGATGAATCCCATTCTAATAGCGAGATGTGTGCCTTATCTTTTAGGCCTAGTTCCCCAACTCTCAAGGTTTGACGAGTTTGTGCAGCAACACTTACTATAGTTGCTTGTCTCTAGATTCTTCTTGGTCCTGTGCCCTCTTTTATTGCCAAGAATTGACCTTAGTTAAGTGGATTCGGATTCAATGTAGAAGAGTTGCTGAAAGTAAGGGTTTTCAACGTAGCACATGTTGGTAGCATTATATTTGATTTTATGAGATTGGTGGGGTCAGACGCTTATACAAAATTAAGAAATGATACGACAAAAACAAATAAATACGGAGAGAGAGGTGCAGAAAACTCTTTTGGACCAAGAACAATGGTGATTATATTATAGACTTTTCTCTCTTTTTAGGTCTGAAGCTAGCATTTTAGAATCATGCTGTCTAAAATTTAAATAAATAAATAATTAATTAATTAAATAAAATAAAATAAAAAGAATATTTTCCCTAAATAAAGGGAAACCCAGTGCATGAGGCTTGGTATGAGGAAAGGTTTATTTCCATTTGGAAGAACATTTTGACAATGACTTTGCTTAAAATTCCTAAAATAATTATTAAGATTTGGACGAGATCGGATGGCCGGACAATCAAAACTGGGAACTTATGACCAGACCCCTAAGGTTTCATTTGGCATTTCTTATTTTAAGGATTTATCTCCTTTTTGTAATTAAAAAGTCAATATTTATAAGAACATTTTAACAGTAAAAAAGAGATAGGTCCTTAAAATAAGGAACGCCATATGCCATATGCAGCCTTAATGCTCCTATAAATACTAAGTTTTTAATTGCAAAAATAAGATAAGTCCTTAAAATAATGAATACCAAATGCGACCTTAAATGATGATTTTTGGATAAATAAAATCGTTACCCGTTGAGCATTTCTGGTTTTAATCTGTTCTGAGTCTTACTTCGTTGTAAATTTTGAAAATGAAATGGAGGAAATTCTCCCCCAAAAAAGAAATATAAAATTGGATCTAAATGTAACTTTTATTTAATTTTTCAAGTATTACAACCTAACCCATTATGTCAACCCAATGCAGTTCATGAACATAAAGCCGTGCGGTAAAAGCTCAATTGGAGGGAGTTGTTTGATAGCTGCATTGATTGAGTTGATTCTAACAAGTTATTTATGATATCTACATCACAAAACATGGTTTCATGACTTCATGATTTTTTTTTTCTGGCTCACATAACACAGAAAACTATTGCAAGAAAGCCATCCCAAACAGACGCCAGCCTAATTACAATTTTTTTATACTCGTGTTCTACTGTTCTTAGGGTTACACAAGGGGTAGCCCATCTCCATACCCATAGCACTACCCAAACCCTGGTGGGAGTTGGATTTGATCTCAAGTATCTGCTATAAACAGCCGAGATCCTGCCAATCGAGGGGTTTGGATTTATTCTTTACAAAGCTCACCTTACACCAACCTTACGGAGTTATGGTATGTTTCAGCGGTACATCTGAAACATCTTCTTATGAATAAAAATTTATAATTACAGAAATGTTTTAGACAATGTTTTAAAAAATAATCTGGAAATTGAATTGTTCTAGCCATCAGTTTTCGGGTCGACGGTCTAACTGTCCGATTCGAACGTACAACCCATTCTGATAAACAAATTAAAAAAAAAATAAAAATAAAAACTAATTAAAACAGGTTAACAGTTTGACTGCCTATGTTAAAAACCGGGTTTGAGATAAAATAAAATCGGTTGCCTGAATGGTTCCTATGCCGAACGATTTGACCATCCGAATCAACGATGATTCAAAAACTTTGGTTTTAGATGCACGGCTGAAACATGCTTTGAGGTGGATGTGAAGTAAGTTCTGTGAGGAGCAAATCCGTACTCTAAGCCAACATCAAATATTTGTCATCTAGCTGGGTTTGCAAAGACTACAAATAGTTGAGTAGAATACAAATAGAAACATGTATGGTGCAAATAGGGAACCCCACTCTGTCTGTATGGAATTGGTCAGTCGACAGGTCCCGCCGCGGCCCCGCCCTTAAAAAGGCTAAAACAACAGAGAACCCCACTTTCATTGGTGAAGGAAGAAAGCATCAAAACAGCAAAAGATCAAGTTGGATGGGTCTAACAACCTTCCAGGAACCAGGTTGAGTCCGATCGATCAAACTGTTATTTTTATCAGGCACATATACGCACAGATAGCTTAATAACTCATTTTCAAAAGTATTTACAGACATAGCGCGATTACTCCTTTAATTAATACAAGTGAAGGAAGGAAGGAAGAAATGACACAGTTGGGACTTGGGAGAGAAAGTGCCGTATCATCCATTCTTCTTCAAAATTTTCCTTCCGAGACTTTTAACTATAATGGTGGGTATTAGCTCATTGAGTAGAGATGGGTTTCTTAAAATAAAAACAAAGTTCAGCTTTTTGTTTGGTTTGAAAAAACAGGCTTATGGCCTTTCTTTCTATTCGACTCAACTCATTTCCTCATTGAGAGAGAGTGCTTTTTGGCCTAAATGGACCGGCTTCTAATAAAAGCCTTTTTTGAAACAGAAAAGTGCCTAAATCCCTTCTTAAGCTTTTTCACCAAACATTTTTTTGATTGATTTTTGGCTCCCCTAAGGTAAAAAGCACAAATAAGAGCATTGAATAAGCACTCCCAAACGTTGGCCTAACTCAAAGAACTAAAGTGATGAAGTACCCAGTGGTCACCCACCAAACCAAACTCATCACCCTTTCGTCTTCTGAGTTAACCCCAATTCTTCCTCTGATTAGGTAAGGCCATGTGTTTAGCAACCTAACTAGGGGACTGTGCATTCAATTTCAAGAACTGCCAGTGCCAGCTATTCTTATACAATTAGTGGTGATCGGTGAGTTTGGTGATTTAAGTTTCATAGTTACGTCTCTCTCTATGGTTCACTTCCTTCTATTTTATAACATCTATTAACGAACAAAGTAACAAGAGAGTTATGGAAGGCCGTCGTTTGTAGGCAGAGTGTGGGACCCTGCACAAATAGTTCGTTTATGGACAGAAAAAACTGGTTTGTTTTGTTATGACTCGTGGTGGTTCAAATTCAATGAGCTGGCTAAGGAGTAGGGGCCGGGGCTGTGGCTCCCCCTGTTTGTTTGTTGGCATGGATGATGAAATTCAAATCAACAGACAAGCTAATGGGTTAGTCGGACCAGTGGAGTTGTCTTGGCTAGTGACTACTCCAACCGTGAATACATGTGCACCATTAATGAGTTCCCTGTGGTAGTATTAGCTGCTATTTAATACCATGGCGGAGGCCGGAGGGAGTACTCTTGGTTGTTCGGTGATCACTCCTACCCCTCCTCTCTGCGTAGTTCGTACATGTAAGTCCCAATATATAAATAGACATTCAGCAGCTTCAAGCAAGACATCTACAGACAAGTGTAAGGGATTAGCTTCCCTTCCTCTTCGGAATCTCTGAATAATTTTTTCCAGATCTTTCGATGGCTTCGTTGGGGATTGTAAAGCTCTTTCTCAATATATTTTTCTGTCTCAACCTTCTGGCTTCTTCTGCTCAAGGTTTCTGCTCCTTTCTTCTCTCTCTCTCTCTCTTTTGCTGCTTCATTTCCATGCTTGCCTGCCTGTCTGCCTTTATTTTACAAAACCTTCTCTTGTTCTTTTTATTGGTTTATGATTCTATTTTTGCTCCCTTTTGATGAGTTCAAGAGTAGTCATTCTTCTTTCCAGTCCAACTTAAACATCAAAGAGAGCAGAGAAAACCCAAAAAGTCAACTGATTGTCCTTTTCTTTCATTTTTTGCACTAAGAAGGGAGTAGGGGAAAGGGGTATGGCTTTTTGTTTCTTTTTTCCTTTTTTTTTCTCTTTTTTTTTTTCTATGTTTCAGTCTAAGTGGAATACAGGAATTGATTTCACCATTTTTTTGGAAGCTGCTTTTTCATTCTCAATTTTCTGCACTAAGATAGGTTGTCCCTCCCTCCCTCACATCCTTCCATGGCGTCCTGTTAAAATCTGAGAGTGAAAATTGAGTAAGAAATACCCACATTTGGAGAACTCCATGGACCATGATTTTGGGTTTGGTTTTGGTTCTCTCTCTCTCTCATTCACTCACTCACTCAAAGCATCAAAGCATCAAAGTATGCATGGATTATGTAATTGATAATATCGTTGATGAAATGCAGGAAAAGAGGATTACTCGAAATACAGATATCCATTTATCAAGGCGGCAAGCAGTTTCACATCATCAAGAACATGGACGGGAAACGACAGCCCATATGACTACATAATCGTAGGAGGTGGCACGGCTGGTTGCCCGCTGGCAGCCACCCTGTCTGAGAAGTTCAGGGTTCTGCTACTGGAGCGAGGGGATGCACCGTTTGCCAACCTAAACGTCTCCTACTTGCAGAACTTCCATATATCTCTAGCAGACACCTCACCCACCTCCGCCTCCCAAGCTTTCATCTCCACCGACGGAGTCATTAATGCAAGGGCTCGGGTGTTGGGTGGAGGCACTTGCATCAATGCTGGTTTCTATACAAGGGCAACCCCCGGGTACGTCTGTTTTCTTTCTTTATTTCTCTTCCCTTCTTTCTTCTTCCATTTTCTCTTCACTCTTTGGCCCTCTGAAGGTAAGGATTTCTTTTTTCTTTCATTCTTTGGCTTCGGCTTCTAGTGGCTTTTAGACTTTAGAAGGTTGACAAATGTAGCACATTGTTCTGCCATTTCTGTCCCTTCTTTACTTCTTTGTTGGGTAGAAGTTCAATATGGAACTGAAATTTGCAGTAAAATTGTGAATACGTACGTACTGAATTGGGCTGCATTATACAAAAAAAAAAAAAAAAAAAAAAAATCTATCTAATCTCATCCAATCTAAATCATTTAAATATTCATACCCATATCTAGCCTTAATATGTTAAGGCTATGCTTGGGTTGATAAAAACCTTCTCTGTTTCTCTCTTCTTTTCTATCAAACCAAAAGTCAAATGGACAGGATCGTGGAATTCAATATCTCGAATCAATCTGAATTTAAAATTGTCCTTTTTGTTTTGTTTTATTTCTTATTTTTTATTAAAGGATTTAAGATTCAATTTGAATTGAAATTCTAACAAGGAAACTTGGATCTGGGTATATCCGATTTATTGTTATTATAGTTTGCAATTTTACAATGTGGTCCCCCGGTATTTTAATTACTTTATTTATTAAATGCTTTTTTTTCTTGAATATAATCTTACTCGTTTCCATAGACCAATCCAGGTCTACTTTTAACCTTGCGTGCAAGAGAGAAAAAAAATGGATTTGATTTTTTTCCATACTGCTCTGGACATGAGGTGAGGACAAATATTGACATCCATAAATTACATTACTGCTGTGACCAGGTAGCAGCACACTCCCCTGCTATATGTGCATCAGTTTGGTGGTTTAAAGACCATTAGACCAATGACCCAGTGGTTGAGCTGGTTATTCAGCATCACACTCAGAATTGGAGGTGTGACAATTCTTATAGCACGGCTTCTGATCAAACATTCACTACAAGAAAAATGACTTTTAGCGGCAGTCCTTAAAATTGCCGTTAAAAGAAGTATTGCTACAAGTTTCTAGCCGTAGTTTTTGTAGCTGCCGGTATAAATACAAAACTGCCGCTAAAAGTTTTTTTTTTTTTGTCGTGATTGTATGTTTATGCTTTAGGCCCGTTTGCTATTGGGTAAGTTATTTGTTTGGATAAATAAATTTATCCAAGTAAATATTTTAAGGAAAGATTTATCCGGGTATATGCATTTATCCATGTTCTTTTATTTTCCATATAAATAAAGGTAATGACCATTTTAGCCATAAAAATCCAATATTAAAAGGAACATTTTTGTGTCATTCAAGTATTATCAACTTATCCACATAGGAGATGAGTATTATTTAACAAAAAAATAAACTTTTCATGATCCCCACATAAATCTGAAAAAGGACATGAAATTCTTGGTCAATGGGAATCAAAATCCCATTCACCAATTTCTTCCCTCTCAAAATCCAGAAAAAGAACACCCTCGTTTATGCTTTTAGGAGATTCTTCTAAAGATAAAGCATGTGAAATTGCGGGTGTTTCGCTGGTCAGACCTTGCATGTGTATTACTACTGTATTATGTGATGTCAAAAATAAAATATTAGGTGTCAATGAGCAAAAAATGAAAAAATTTTAATCGCAACCTCATATTTAAATATGAACATGTCATCTACAAAATTTCTACATTTGTTGTTGGTGTATTTGCGTTTCATTGGAGGCCGTAGGGAGTGCTATGAGCCTATGACCACAGTTGCAGTCGATGTTCTCTCGATTATTTAGTTTCTTTATCTCAGAAGAGGCCCAACCATGTGTTCTAAAGAGAAGCTCTCTTGCTTGAAGGCTTTATTTAAGGCTTACATGTACAAATATAAAAATATGTTCAATTTCATCAATCTCTAACATTTTTCTGCTCCATATAATCAAGGTTTGAGTACATAGTTGGGGGTCCGGATGTAGTAGGCATGCATTAGGTAAGCACAATGATTGAGCACTTAATAGCAGTGTGACACATATATCAGTTAATGTGCCTTTCATCCAAACTTTTTTGTTCCATTAAATAGAGATTATTCATTATTTTATTATCTTTGTCAAAATAATTAAAAAATAAAAAATAATGAGTCTCAACTCCCAATACGTTTAGGTTTTTCTTTTTCATTGTTTTATTTTTAATTATTTTGACAAAAGTAATAAAATAATAGATAATTTCTATTTAACTGAACAAAAAAAGTAGATGAAAGGCACATTAACTGAGACATGTACACAACTATTATGTGCTCACTCATTGTACTTACCTAACATGCCTACTACATCCGCACCCATCATTGATCTCCCTGCTTTCCCATACTTTGATTAATATCAAAGGTGGGGTGTCTTCAGACTCCCAAGGAAGAGAAGAGAGGCATGAGAGTTAGGGATGAGAGGAACCAATTACCAAGGAGTAAGGAGAGCATTGCCTCTTCTGACCTGAATTGCAGAGTAGTGTGTGTGGACCAAGGAGCTCTGATATTCCTTTTTTTCCCAATGCCTTATCTTAAATTCGAAAGGGATGTAATAGTAGGACTGTTTATGTCCTATCTCCCAGCAATGCTCTTCTCACAACAAACCATCCATCAATTCCATCCCATCCCAACCCAGATCATAAAGTAACAAAGCATTTATTAATTAAATCAGGGCATGATGCATTCTTCCTAATCAAGGGAACCTCTCTCTATCTAACTCTTTAATGAAGGAAACCACCCAACGACGTCGTATTATTAGTTCTTTGGATTAATTGTTCTGCCTGTGCCAACATTTAATTGTTTCTTTTTCGCTGCCCGAGCGGGTCAGTGGACAGTTCCTATTCCCTAGCTAAATTACGGGGGCGGCATTAAATCACGTCTGAGTTACAAATCTACTCTTATCTTACCAACTGACCAACTGGAAACTTCTCTTTGGAGGCTTCCACAGTCAATTTGGTCCACAGACCATTTACCACATGGGTGATTCCTTGGCCATTCATCCTTCCTCACTAGCTAGTTAATTAATGCGTCTGATCCATCATCATCCAATTAAGCTTGAGAGAGATTAGAAAACTCAAAAAGCAGTTAATGTAGCTAGCTTGTGTTGATGTTCAACTTCATGGCTTCTGCAGATTCATTAAGAAAGCAGGTTGGGACAGTGAGATAGTAAAAGAGTCGTATCCGTGGATCGAGAAGCAAATTGTTCGCTGGCCACAAGTGGCACCATGGCAGGAGGCCTTGAGGAATGGTCTTCTTGAAGTTGGGGTCTCACCCTTTAACGGATTCACGTATGACCACATCTATGGAACTAAGATCGGAGGGACTACCTTCGATAAGTCCGGCCGTCGATACACTGCCGCCCACCTACTCGCTTCTGCAAATCCTGAGAATCTAAGAGTCCTGGTTCATGCAACAGTGGAAAAGATATTGTTTGATAAAACTGGTAAGTGCAGCACAGTAATCTATAATACTGGCTCTCGATCCATGAGTGGTTTACTGGTTACTAAGCACGTACACGTTTTATACAAAGGGAAATACCTAGAGGTCGAAACAGGAGAGGAATGAAGTAGTAGTTCTGATGTTTGTATTTGGCTTGACACAGGGAGGCAGCCCAGGGCTGTGGGAGTCGTGTTCAAAGACGAATACGGAAACCGACATCAAGCATTTGTGTCAAAGAGAATGGAGAGCGAGGTCATATTATCGTCGGGGGCTATTGGGAGCCCTCAGCTATTATTACTAAGTGGGATTGGTCCGGCAACCGACCTCAAAAGGATGAACATTCCGGTGGTGCTCCACAATGAATTCGTCGGGAAAGGAATGTCCGATAACCCCATGAACTCCATATTCGTCCCCACCAAGAAACCAGTCAAGCAGTCGCTAATCGAGACTGTCGGTATTACGAAGATGGGAGTGTTTATTGAGGGCAGTAGCGGGTTCGGTCAAAGCTCAGATAGCATTCAGTGCAACCATGGAATCATGTCTGCAGAGGTTAGTAGTAGAGTACTAGTTAGTACGTAGCAAAGAAAATGAGGTTGCCCACAGGCTAGAGCCTAGAGCTCGCATTTTATTGCTCCATCGCGGCTCTATCCAAATATCCAAAGTCATTCTCTAATCCCAGAAATATTGTTTTCTGGGATCTGGGGTGTAGCATAAATAGGTCAATGCATGGAATGGAATGAATTAGATCATCATCCTCTTGCATCATTTAGCGTTGATTGACAATTGTTGTGCAACCAGATTGGACAGCTCTCCACCGTTCCCCCAAAGCAGAGGACCCCAGAAGCCATCAAAGCCTACATTGAAAGCAAGCAGAGCTTACCGCATGAGGCCTTCATGGGTGGCTTTGTTCTAGAGAAGATAGTCGGACCGCTGTCGACGGGTGAGCTCAGCCTGATTAGCACCGACGTTGATGACAACCCTTCTGTTACCTTCAACTACTTCAGTCATCCTTACGATCTAAAGCGCTGCGTATACGGCATTCGCATGATCGAGAAGGTGGTGCAGACGAAGCACTTCGCCGACCTCATAAACTCCGACATGCCCGCTGTGGAGATGCTTCTCAACATGAGCATCAAAGCTAATGTGAACTTGATACCCAAGCAAACCAATGACACCAAGAGTCTAGAGCAGTTCTGTAAGGACACAGTGACCACTATCTGGCACTACCATGGTGGTTGCCATGTGGGCAAGGTGGTCGACGCCAAGTACAAGGTTCTCGGTGTTGATGGCCTCCGTGTTGTGGATGGTTCAATATTCAATACTTCTCCCGGAACAAATCCGCAAGCTACAGTCATGATGATGGGCAGGTAAGGTTATCGCACAGACACAGATATATATGCTGCTGATGCATGGAAGGATACTGACTGATTTTGTTTAATTCCTGGGTGAATATGCAGATATATGGGAGTTAAAATACTAAGAGAACCATTGGGAAGAGCAGCTGGTGTATAAATTGGAGCTGTTGCATGCAATAGAAGCTGCACCAAGGAAATTTAATTTGATTATACTAATTCTTGCCAAAGAAAATGCATCAAAAGAAGAATTTCATTGTATTACATGTGACAATTAATTCAAATGCTTTTCTTTCTCATACTCCATCTTTATCTGGCTTGTTTTCTTTCTTTCTTTGGAAAGGGATGATCACTTCTGGTTTCCACACGTAATGCTAATTGCATTGCATTCAATGAATCAATCTATCTAAAAGACGATCAATGGTCGCTTCAAACATTCAATCAGCGGTCCTTGACCTGAACCACCATGGAATCTTTTGACGTGACAAATTGGTTTCTGAACTGGTCGTGCACATTTTTCTTTCTATCCTTGGGGCAAATTTTGAAGCTTTCAGTGGCCAATAGTACTTGGGGAAGATATCAGTAAAGGTGGGATAGAGGGCTGATGAGAACTGGCCAATACAGAGGCTCCTTAATTTAATGGTTTGGTTCAGGCTTCAGATTGGCCATATCTATCCCTCCATGTTGCACAAGACTAGAAATAGGACTGGTCATACAAGAAAGCACCCTGTTTTGATCCAATTATATATAGGAAGAAGGTTTCTTAATCAGCTCAAGGAGCTTCCCTACACGATCGAGTGGCCATGTTCCTGCCACATGGATGAATGATGTGGCCAGTCTGAGTTATCCACTGGGTAGGGATAGGGGACCCTATGGATATGGACTAGCCACCTGTTCAATCCTCCTGTTCCACATTGTATTGGTGTTTTGCTTTGGTAACATTGATCATAAAACTCTCAATATTTTGATATAACATGCCTAAAGAAGGGGCTATTTTGCATTGATATGGATTGATGAGAAATTGAGAAGCCCAAACCAGATTGCTACATAAAAGATTCCTTGATTGCTTATCCTCTGTCACTGAATGCCTTACTAGAAAACTGTGTGTGTGTGTGTGAGAGAGAGAGATGGTTTGTAATCAGGTCATTGGGTAAAGAAATGTAAATGAAATGACCCAGGAAACTTTCTCAAAAGGAGACATCAAATTCCTTTCTTCATCCAAGATTGATGGGGTAACCCCACAAACCTTAATGCTTATTCTAGGCTTCTAGCTAAGCTTTCTTTTGTGAATAGCTTTTAAATTAGAAAATTAAAGGGTAGAAGTGGACGGCAGGATTTAAGGCATGGCCCATCCAGGGGAGTGGGGACCTCCTATCCGGATAGTCTGAAGTGGCCACAAGATTTTTCAATGTTAAAACAGAGTAGGTTGCGCAACCTAATCAGGTCGAAGTAGGGAGTTTCATGGCATGATCTACTTTTATTCCTCTCACTCTAAATCAGCCTACTCATTAATTTCACTGTCATCAGCCCATACTCCACTAGATCAAGGGTAGATAAGATGATATATCCTTACCATTACCAATAAATAAAAAAAGGTTATATGTTATATATTCTCATTGAAAGATATTTTATAGCATAAAAGAAGTAATTTTTCTCTATCTTTTTGACATCTCTACCTCAAATAAATGTGCAAGGTGCAATATCTTAATCCATAAAAGCACATCTGAAATTTCAATAGTTAATTCATAATCTACTAGAAATATCTAAACTAGCACTATCTGTGAGTCTGGTCGTTGGAATCAGTGGCTGTGTTATTTGTTTTGTTTTGTTGTAGTGTCCTTGTTTGTGTTTTGGTTGCTGGTTGAATGTGTCTCCGTTATTTTGTTTTAATGAATTGCATCTTCCTCACAAAAAAAAAAAAACAGAAAAAGAAAAAGAAAGAAATATAAATTATATGCTAAGTTTCTAATATAATAATGTTATATTAGGAAAATATTAAATAGGAAAAATACAAATTATGAAGAAATACACAACGTAGTCCCCTAAATGGTAGTCTACAGTTTACACCCTTGGTCACATTATGATAACAGGATCAATAATAACACCTTCATCTTATTTTTATATATTTTATGTCAAGCATGATAACTTTTTTCTTTTATAGTTCTAACCAATGAAAGTAAAAGAGCAAAAAATACATTCTTGTGTCAGGTTCGTAAGCAACATTAAACTTGGTCAGTTTAAGCTAAAAGTGGGGAAAAGGGAAATCAATCCACGTTCTATGGGCTGAAGTAAATTAACCAATCGTCTTATACTCAAATTTTCCTTGTAAAGAAGGATAGATGGTAGATACCACCAATTGAAAGTTTGAGATTACAGTTGTGTAAAAGATCTCTTGTATACTTCAAATCCTCGATACATAGAGAGGGATTGAACTGAACCAAGGAAACTTTGCTCAAAACTTCAAATCAAGACTATCTCAAAGTGGAGCATTTATTTGAGATACACTAAGAATCATGCCTCTTTCAAAGATACAAACTTCACAAATCATGGCTCTCATCTGAATCATCTTTTGACAAAGATTGCAGCAAACAAACTTGTTCACCATGACCAATGCATTTCCTTCAGGGATCTTAGCAGCAGCATGAGCCATTCTGGATAAATTTTGAGGTCATAGCCACACAAGGCATTGGAACTTGAATGCAGCTGCATTTCTTATCAAATCCCAAACTACTAGTCTTCCCCCTAGTTGTTCTCACATATGAAAACCACAATGTTGCCTTATTCCTGGATGGCGCTCCAACAAATTCATCGAGATACTGCCCACAATCTGGAAGCAACTCCGTGTTCACTTGCACTACCTCTAGTCATGCCTCTTAATCTCTGCCAAAACCGCATGCCCCTCCCTGTTCGCAGAGGGCCTGAACTAGAGTGCCTCCTAAAAGACCCCGATACCTGCATCCCATGTCTTGCTGATGTACTGAAGACATCCAAAGCAGATAGAGCCCCCCGGTCTTCAAGGCTGGATTCACATACAGGCATAGCATAGTAGGTACGTGTAGATTCTGGAATTTGACCCGAACCAGTACTAACCCTAGCATCCAAATCAATCGACAAGTTTTCCCGACTACAATTATCTGATCCCACTCTTTTCGTCTCACCGCACTCGTTACACACAAGCTTCAATGCCTGCACTACCTCTCCCATGAAAGGTCGGTGTGACACTTCTGGTTGTACACACATTGAAGCAATTGCTGCTACCTTGGCCACACTATCAAATGGGATATTGGATCCTAATGCAGGGTCAACAATTGCTTCTAAACCCTCCTTACTTGTAAGAAGCGGGCGTGCCCAAGCAACTAGATTCTCTTGACCTTGTGGCTGTGACATGTCCACAGGTTTTCTTCCTGTTAGGAGCTCAAGAAGTACCACACCATAACTGTAAACATCACTCTTCACAAGAAGATGTCCAGTCATTGCATATTCCGGAGCCACGTAACTGAAAAAAAAAAAAAAAGTCATGTGCAAACACAGTATTGATCTCTCACAAGTATCCTAGGGGAATTAAAAAGATTTGAAAATTCAAATCATGAAAAGAACAAGGTCATACCCAAATGTTCCCATAACGCGTGTTGAAACGTGTTTATTTCCCTCATCCAAAGCTGTTCTGGCCAAACCGAAATCAGACACCTTGGGAGTAAAATCATGTTCCAATAAGATATTGCTGGACTTGAAGTCTCGATGAATAACACGAGGGCTTGAGTCTTCATGCAAATATGCTAGACCACGAGCTGCACCAAGTGCAATCTTTATTCGGGCACCCCAATCAAGTGGAGAAGCCTCCTTGTCTGATCCTGAAAGAACAATTTTTTTTTTGGAAGGGCCATTTTCAAAAAAGGATCAGGGAACAAAATTTATAATTCAATGGAGAGAACCCAAAAACATGAGACCACTACATTCATATTACCATGTAGATGGGACTCCACACTGCCATTTGGAATGAGTTCATAGACCAAGCAGCGGGTATTGTCCTCTGTGCATATACCAATCAATTTGACCAAGTTCCGGTGATGCAACCGGCTAAGCATCTCTACTTCTGCCAAAAATTCTCGGCCACCCTGTTGATCATCTCTCTTAAGAACCTTTACAGCCACCTTTGTTCCATCATCAAGGGTACCACTATAGACACGTCCAAATCCACCTTCCCCCAGTATTCTTGAATCATCAAAGTTATCAGTAGCTCTTTCTATTTCACCTGCACTGAAAGTTCTAGCAGTTCCTGTATATGTTGCAAAGCTAGATCCAAAGGACAGTGATGCAGAACTGGCTCCACTTCCAAACATCATAGATCCAGCAGCCCCTGTAGAAATGAATATTCGATATGTACTATTTAACCAAAAAATAAAAAAAGGCAGTTATAATGATAAGAAATATTAGCAGTGCTTTACCTGATGGCTTTGCAAGGGAAGGTACAAAAGCTTCAATGGTAGATGCAGGTTGACCAGAATGTCTTCCACATTTCAATAGAAACACCCAAGCAGCTCCAACACAGAACACAATGGCTATAACAGATAACAGAACTATTATAGCAATCATGCCACCACCAAGTCCTCCTTTTTGTTTCCTCCTCACATCAACTCCCAGAGGCCGTATTGTCCTTCCATTATTGTCATGGCCAGGTAAAGATCCACCATCTATGGTGGTAATGCTTGAGGTTGTTGAAGGTGGGGAGGGAGGAAGCCCTGATATGGTGCAAATGTTATTAACAGATGCCAGACTACATGATAAACTACATAGAAAAGCATCCATTCACATGTACCTGGATATTTAACATACAACACTTCATAGTCACCAAAGTAGGAAGCCTTTATGGCAATCTGTTTGTGCCAGAATTTCTCATAGGTCATAAATGCTGTGGTGTTATCAAATTTTACTCCAAGTGGCACCAGATTGATAAGAACAATAGTCTTCTCTGGCTGTTGACTGGCTGCGTTTGCTCCCATGATATGAACTTGACTTTGTCTCATGAAAACTCCAGCTGCTATTTCTGCAGCCAGTTCAGAAACCAAAGGAAAGAAGGTGTATAGGGCCACACTAAGGCACAGTTCAACTTGCATTGGCAACACACAGGCACAGGGTGATCCTGGAGGGCTATTTGTATAAGGATCCACACATGCCAATGATGTACAATCTACAAGATAAGATATTTAGGTGTCACTAAGGTAAACTTGTGGAAAATGAATAGTATAATAGAAGACCAAATAGAACATAATGTTGAATTAAGTATAAGAGAATTTGCAGATTTATTTACCTAAATTAGGAGGTGGTGGGGGTAATGTTTGAACTGATGGAGATAATGGTGTCTTTGGCTTCCTTGGCAAAGAACTTGGAGGAGAAATTTTGGGAGGAAGAACACGCCCTTGCTTACAGAAAACAAGATTAGGGAACATCCATTAATTTTTACTGTACAGAAAACAAATGATGTAAGAGATGTAAGTTTCACCATACTTTGGCCGGATTGAACCGCTGGTGATGGTACAGGTGCAAAAGAACCTCTTTTCACTGTTGGAGGAACTGGATATTGGACAGGGGAGATAGAGGGACCTGCCAGGTTGGATCATAATAAGAGGTCAAAGTAAACAAACCAATTTACAGCTCAGATGCTTGGTCACATATGAATTGGGAAACCATCTGGTACCTTGTCCCAAGTGTGGCAGGCCTTTGTGTCTTCTACTTTTCTTTGGCAATGTTTCCGAAGCATTTGAAGGTGCAGGAGTGATGATCAGACCTTTAAGAGAAATCGAAAGAAAAGGAAGAATTCTTTATTATCCAAATACTTGGGGCATATATGTTACCTGTTGGTATTTATTTGGTGGAGATACTCTTAGAAAAATATCAAACCTTTGTGATAAGAAGCAGGAGGATGGGATGGAATTGATGTAGGAGCAAGGCCGTTGGCTCTTTGATTTGCATGTTTATGCTTGTAAAATGAAGGTGAAGGTGCAGGACTATGAAATTGTCTCCTCTCTGGGGCTTTGGAAGATGACTTGGAAGGTGCAAATGCTTTATTAGAGGGCCTCACAGTTTTGTCTGGTGCAGGGGCTTCAACAGGGAACAGACCTGTGACCAGTAATGATTTCCAATGGCATTGAACTTCAAATTTGGGGCCCATAAAAACTTGCACACAAAGAGCTTAACTTGATCTCTGAAGTACCTTTGGCTGGGGAATGGTTCACAGGTGATAAATGATCAAATGATTCCATTGGAGGTGCAGCAACTGGCACTCCATATCTCTTCCTGATTCTGGATGGAGGACCCGGTTTTGGAGAAACAGCAGGTTCTGTAACATTATTTTGCAACACATTGAACCTAACATCAATTACAAAGTACCTAGTTGTTGGACTAGCACAACCCCAAAAAGGTAGAGTACAAGGGCATGGCTGTACATTAATTAAACAAAAAAGAGAAACATGCACGCCTCCATATATTCTACAAATATTGATTAATTAATATGACAGCCCTATTATTTCAAGATAGATAATTACTTGAGAGTGCACCACACACCACAGTTTGTCCATGGAAAGGTACAAAATTTTAGTTAAAATTGTTCACCCAAAAAAAAAAATAGTTAAGATCAATATTCCACCAAAAGAATAAGGGGATACATTGGTGATATACCACTTCAAGGTATCAGAAAGAAAAATAGAGGTGTCTCTTTTTGATCAAACATTAGGAAGAAATAACAATAATGGAACTTCAACATGAAAGGATGTAGCAAAAGAGCTGTACAGACTCACTGCTCACCCAACAAAAAATTCAAGGTATTAGGGATTTCACTGTATATGAAACCCCTCTCCACACCCAACAAAAAATTCAAGGAATAAAAGCAAGAGCCTTGCTAACTTCTTTGAGATGATCAGCCAACCCCCAAATAGGGATGCAAATGGATTGGATTTGAGTGTGATTCATTTAAGTCGTATTTGGATCCATCTAGCCATAATTGGATTGAATTGAATATGAAAATATGATTCATTCATTAATCGGATCAAGTTTGGGTAATTGCTTGATCCAATCTGCTAGGATCTGATTATATTCATATATAAATGATCATTTTTAGTATTAAAATTCTTTAGAATTAAGCGGGGTTTGGGATTTAGAAAAACCTAGTTTTTCTATTTATAGTATACATTTCTTGTTTCTATTTAATTTTGTAAATTAGAGCTGAAACTCAGATGCTGACTGAATCCATAAATCTTCCAATTGAGTCAATACAAATATAGAGAGAAATCTAAAAAGACTTCAAAATTAATAGCATTATTTTGCTATCTTCTTGGGATATGGAATATCTCAATGATAAATTGATATAGCCGATACTTGGGAAAATTAAGGTTCTCGTTGATTTCAAACCCTGCTCACAGAAAAAAGCAGAAATATGAGGTATATTGTGTGTTGTCTGTGTACAAGGGTCATTACCTAATGTTGATCCTAGCTAAACAGGATCTTGGGTGGGGTGGACTGGGCTGGGTACATAAAGGGATTTAATCCTGCTTACAAACTTCAAACAATCAATGCCTCCAGATCAAAAAGCTACTTTGGAAAGAGCCATACCATATGGTGCTCTTCGATAATGAGCCCTTGGTAGGGCAGATGGTACAAACCCCTGGATGGGTTGGAGTGGGGATGCTGACTCTTGTGGTGGCAATAGACTTCCAATATCTGGGGATATGGATGGTACCAGCCCTTGCACAGCTCGGGGGACAGGTGCGGAAACATTGGGTGGAAATACCAATGAGATAGGCCCTGGATTTTTTAAGCTGTTAGCTTTATTAATTGATAGCAAGAATAACAAAAGCTTCCTAGTGTTACAGTTAACAAAGGTTACCATTGTGCAGATGCCCTGGACTTTGTGCTCCAGTTTCCAGAGACTTCCTATGGTAGCCAACACTAGGCTTTCTATCTTCAGTTGGAGAAACTGCAGAAAAAGCTCTTGGTGATATATTGTACCCTGCAAGAGAATATAAATCTGCCATTTCTTAGTCTATAACTCAAGCGGGGAAAGAGAGATATAATACTCTTTGGAACTTAACCTGTACCTTTGTGGACCCTTCCCAAACCAAGTTTTTATTTCATGATACAAGTTGAATGGTTTTCTACTCTAGCAAAGAAGCTTGGAAGAATTGTGCTTTTTATTTTCTGTTTCCCTGATCATTAAGTATCTTTTTTCATCATCGCACACCAGAGTTTTTCTTGCAAAGTATTAAAAAAATGGATAAGATGAAATATCACCATGTTTAACAAACCTACCAAAAATGAAGCATAGGACATCATAGTTTTATCTTTCAAGAGTTCCTATGGATGATTTCTGAGGTTGAAAAATCTGGGGTAGATTAGGACCTCTATTTTCTAAGTCTCCTTCCCTTGGTATTCTTTTATTGTGGCTATGGTTTGTACTTGGTTGTCATAATATTGTGTACCAGTTTACAACCTTCCATGTACTCATGTATATTACCTTTGTGGCTTAATTCACTAATAACATAAAAATGGTGATGATGATAAAGGGGAGAAGAAAGATATGACAATCTTCTGAAGAAAATCCAAACCAGTCCTCCTTGACCAAATAGTTGGCAGGAGCAGAATCAGGGACAAGAGGAGAAAATACCTGAGACAGTCAAATTTGAATATCCTCTGTACCATATACATAGGTAATTGGGTTAATGGACATAAAAATGCAAATATAGGTAAAGTAATAGATATGTGAATAAGTAACTTGTAAACTACATCATTGATACTTTCACAAAGAACATTAGTGTAAAATATCAATAACTTGTAGGAATAATCTCTCCAATTAACATAATCTTCTTTTTTTAATTTTTCTTATTGTACCAAGGCTTGGTTTTTATATTTCATAAAAATATTGTTTTATAGTACTTTTGCTGTATAGCCATGTGAAAACTCTAACATCTCCATGAGAGCAAAAGATAGTACTTTAGAATCCCCTAGCATTGTTCAAATTAAGAAACTAAGATTGTTTCAATAATTTCTGGGGATGATATTCTGAGCCAAGGCAGCCTGAGAGCGACCACTTTGTGCAAAAGTGCCAAAGATTACGACTATATCCAGTTTACCCCTCCCAAGACCCCAGATAGCTGGAACCAACATTGGGTAATGGCTTTTCTAATATATATATTCTGGGCCAGGCATCGAATTTACATTTGCAGATTGTCCACCAACTACCAACTTTATTATTTGATCAGTCAACCTTTCATAATAAGGTAAAGAAGTTCATCATTAATTACATAATGAATATTGATATATCCTCTCTTTTTCCTTAAAAGTTTTGGGATAGATTGAGGGAGAGGGTGTGGGGATGGACTAGATGTGGCTAATGACATAAAACCTCCATGTAAAAGGACAAAAAACACAACTAGAAATGACATTATCTGAGATTGATACTATATGATCTGACTTGTAATGCTTAATAATTAGTCACCGGGACAAAACTCCAGATTGTACCGATAACTATGAAGCACAACAGTTCTTTAAACAGTAAGCATATCACTCTTTACTGAGGATGAACTTTAGTTAGAAACTATAAACTACAATTCGCAATGTCCACTCCAATCTCTAATCAACCACCCTATGAAATAACATCCAATTCATATCGAACCAAAGCCACAACGAAAAATTCCAGAATGTTTCCGTCCTTGGTGCATCAGTCTCCTTACATTACATGGATCAAGCAAAACCCGACTCGACTTAGACTCTATTCACACAGGTGCAATTTGTTATGAACAGGAAGAATCACAAAAATAATTGTTGACAAGAACCCAGATCTTTACATTTTTCTCCTAACATAAAAATCAACCAAATACAGCACGAATTTGATCAAATTATTGGATAGGCCAACTCAAACTCAAACATATGCTAAATAAACACAATGAGAACAATATTCATTACCTGCAGATCCATGAACTACCAAAGCGCCGACAATGATGATGAGTCTCACTCTCACTTGCAGCATAATCATTTGCATACCCATCCCCAGGAGAAAATCGGAGATCGAATCTTGTAACCTCCCACCCGCTCGTCCAAAGGATAGGAAAAAAACAATAAAAATATCGACAAATTGGAATAATATAGTAGAGTTTACAGATGGGTAATCTTCAAGTAAGAACAAGACGGAAGCTTGATTAGAGAAGACCGACAAATAGCATGAGGAAAGCAATCAGAAGGCAGCTTAATGAAGACCCAAAGACGGGTAGAGGAAAGCCCAGCTCTCTGTTTCTTTTGCAAATGAGCTGTGGCCGGAATTTGCAGAGCTTGAAGGTTGCCATGCAAAGAGAATCGTTTCTACTGTCATGACTTATTTAAGACAACTGAAAACGAATAAAAAAAAAAAGAAAAAGAAAGATCTGTTCAGCAGACAACGGGCTCATTTAACGGAGAGAGGGAGAGCACTCTCTGAGCGTTTTGGTGAGAGTACGGACACAGAGAGTCAGAGAGGAGAGAGGGGGGGGGGGGAAGAGAGAAAGCGAGATTCTCGTTCAGGCTTCAGCTGTAGTCTAGTGTGTAGTCCCTACTCCTAGTAGGAAGCTAAGAAGATTAACTGATAATTAAGCTTTAATTGGTCGGAGCGTGTTGTACCTTTCCCGTTTATATTGGGTTTGTTTAATACTTGAATTTCCCTCTCTTCACTCCTCCATTCTCCATGTCCAATTCCTGAATTCCAAATTCCAATCCTCCTCTGTGGGCCGCTTCAATAATGGATCTCATTATTTACCATTGGATTAGTGTCGGATGGTACCTTGACAATCAAGTTGTCAGTAGATTCTAATCTCATGGCTCTCAATTGTGCCTCGTGTTGCAGGACTCGCATTAAATGAAATATTCATTTTGTGTCGACTGGGATTCATGATTTCATATTCAAATAGTTTATCGAGGCATCGAGTAGTGTGATGTCTGAACTCTGATCGCTAGCTGATGTGGGCTCTCTCACCAGTCACCATTTGTTTATGTCTCTCCCTTCTTCTTCTTCTTCACCTCTACAATCTAGATCATCCCAGAAAGCATAAAATTTTCAGAAAACTTCGGTGATTGTGTTTGGCGGATAGACTACTATTTGGACTACCTTTTTCGTTGACTCAGAAGAGAAAGCGTAACCAAATGATCTGGTCCATTGGATCGATCGTCTAACAGGTGGGTTTTCTAAAATTTAAAATCAAGATTGTTGATTCTTACGAAACAGAGTGAAACGTCGGCGGGTGCCAGGTGATGGAAGGAGACACGCAATTTGTTACTATATGTTTTTTTCTATTTTCTGGTAAAAAATTGTTAATATGTTATACTATTTATCATTTAAGGTCTAATCATGAATTGCCAAACTTTTCACTATGTGGATCCTCGTCACTAGACCCAACCCAAGTAGGAGCGGGGTTGTGGGCCTGTGGTGTGGCGTTGGACGCCACGTTTACATGTTGATGATGATGATGACGACAACCCTGTTGAAATATGGTTGTCACTCTGTAGATCTTATTAGATGTGATGATAAAATTGGACTCTTGCTCAAGCTACCATCTATTTGAATTTAATTTATTAGATTAAGACAATTGTCTTTCACTGCCGAGATGTGGACAGTATCTAACGGATCGAATCGGATGAAATTAGGGTCTGTTTGGTTTATAGTTGGAATCGGAATTGGAATGGTTTATTTTAATATTCGAAATTTTGATACGTATTAGATCATATCACTCGATATATTTCATATTGGGAATCTCCCGATATGGCTGTTTCGGGGTTTTGATCAGTTCAAAGGGTGGATGGACCTTAAACCGGCCCCTTTGAACCAGATTTGAAAAAAAAAACTAAAAATAAAAACAAAGTTATCAGTATTGCCCGATACGTCTATATCAGCATATCAGGCGTATCGATATTTTGAACATTGATCTATTCCTATAATCTATTTGGTTTAAACAGGAATAGGAATGGAAACTAGAATCAGCTGGAATGAGTTTTCGATTCCAATTGTTTGGTCGAGCAGAATTGAAATCCCATTCCCATTCCTGATGGAATGAGTCTCAAGGGGCAGAGAGGGAATGGCCATTCCCTCAAATCCACCAGAAATGGGAATTGGATTCCAAATCCACCCAATCAAACAATTGGAATCTAAATGACCCATTCTGATTTCGATTCCAGACCCTTATACCCAAAACCAAAGGATCCTTGGAAATAATTACAAGCTACAAACAGCTCGGTCTCATCCCTCCTGAGTGAACCCAGCAAATCACAAAACAACACAGCTGAACAGATGAACTTCAGCCACTTAATTAATTTAAAAAATTAATGACTTTGGAATAAGTAGACTGCACTCCACCTTAGAAATTTGAATTCTAGTAGACTTACAACAATTCAAAATTTCAAATACCTCCACCTAAACACCAATATCCATTGTAAATTGGCATCAATTCTGAACTTACACCTATCCCAACTATACAGTATAGCTAAGATTTGTACGGGTGAACTGAACAGTAAAAACCCTTTTAATTTTAATTTATTGTTGTGAACATGAAATTGTTCCGTTATCCACTTTGACTTAGCACCAAGGATTACATCATACTTCATACCAGCCCTGTGGACAGTGGAGTGGACCATCCGGGTTGGATCGGAATGGTTTGACAAATATAATAAAATGGCATCCTTGCCCATCCACTTAGAAATTTGAAATTTTCCATGACTTCCGGTAAAATCCCATTAGACTAATTAGAGAGTTCGGCTGGGTTAGGTGTTGGGTCAAAGAGACTGGTCGCTTTTGATTTCCATCATGAGATCACTGTTTAAAATTTGTAGTTTGTCTTGTTGAGAACCAAACAGGGTTGGAAATTGGAATGGAGCACTATGGGCTAATTATCAAATCTTAGTACCTGGCAGTCATAAACAAAACAATTAAAAGCCAATAGACTCAAATCTCAATACAGGTGATTTGTGACCATTGTTGTTATATCATGTTGATTTGTCCACACTCCATGATATATATATCCTCGTGTCTATATCAATAGTTTCATTCATGATCTCATCAGTGATGAGACAACATACATTATCTGCAGGAAACACCATACATTGATGTATACACGCGTCATGCCTAAGGCTCTCTCTGCAATTGCAGAAATCAGCCTTGATTAGTTGCATGATGATGATGATAAGACTTTATAGAGGGAAGCACCTTTCAATTTTTCATACATGATAAAATAGATTTGTTCCACCTTCATACTGATTCTTTGACTGGACTAAGTCCTTAAGAGGCTCCACTTCAAAAAAAAAAAAAAAAAAAAAAAGAAAGAAAAGAAAGAAAAAGTCCTTAAGAGGCTGAATGAGAGGAAGCTTGGATGGTCCACAAGGCATGTGACAATTTCTTGCCATCCACTCCACTCTTTTACCTTTTGTACTTGCCTTTTGGGTTCACTTGGTTACTCTTATCTTTGCTTCTGTTTCTGTGTAATTTGTACAACATCATCATCATCATCTCTTTATATGAAGCTTTTAACCAAACAAATCATGCAAATGGATGAGTTTGGGAAGCCTTGGGAATCAACATAGAAAGCCTTGGGTTATTCGTTTATAAACAACCATGAGCAACAGTGAAAGTGCAACTGCACCTGATCCCATCATTTCATCAATTCAAAGTAATTGTTTTTGCATTTTTGCTGCTTTGCTTCCTTTTGTTAAGGCTGAAGAAACAATGCAGAAGGTCCCCCCCATTAATGAACATGAATATTCCACCCCCCACATGCTGGTAATAGCCCAATTGAACTTCCCTCTCAAGGAACTTTTATTTTATGAGACCATAGGAAGCACTGTCCCGTTCAGAAGAACGTGACCTGTAGAACAATTTCGTTGGGCCCATGAGGAAGCTGCCTCTGCCTACTTTTGTTGCCATCGTCCTTGAAAAGTGAAAATGATTTTTTTATATTAAAAAATCCAATAAAATTAAAGATGAAACAAAAGGACTCAATAATTGGTACCTTAGTTTCAGGACGCTGCAGATAGGAGGGCCCATTCGAATGGTTTGGGCTTTGGACTTTGGAGTGAAACCACCTACAAAGGCTTTATCCGAGCCAGAAAATTTTAATTGCAGAATTGTGACCACCAGCACTCGGTTCATGCAAATGGAGGAAATACATGGGCAAAGATGGTGATCCAAATGCACGGAGACCCAAAATGGTGTTTGTTCGAGATGAATGGCGGAGGGCATCAAATGCCCACCGTAAATTCTTTCCCTGTCTGAGCAGTCAAACAGGATATAAAATAAAAAGATAATGAATAAAAAAATGCACGATATAAAATGTTAATATATATAATTTTTAAAAGTGCAGCATTCTTCAACCTACCGACAACCTTGCATGGTGTCGGTGCCTCCCCTCCACGCAGGCCATCTGACACATGAAAGATGAAACTAAAGACATCACACGTTCAACAATCCCAAACTCTTTGCAGCTTTGCATCTATTGATTCACTATCAAAGTAACATATAAATAAAACCTGCTTGAGATGATAAGACAGCACAAATCATCCTATATTTTAAAGTGCTCAAGGTCTTGTTCATTTCCAATCATAACTCATTAACACTTTACATCTTGGCCTGCCTGACCTTACATTGTAGACTGTAGTGGACATGTCATTTAAAATATGCATTGGCCAAATAACAAGTTAACAACCTTTTTTGGTCAAACTGTAGTCTGTAGCATTCTGCTCGTCATTTTCATTCTTGCTGTGCGTTGCACATAAACTCAAAATCATATGTTTCCATCCTTTGTTCCCAGTTATGCGATTTACTTCATTGATGAACACAGGAAGAATTATGCTACAAGTTGACAAGGTGATACATTGGCGTCTGTCCAAGAATTGTCAACCCTATGGTTTATCCAAGCAATGATCTCTGCAACGCAGACTAGTGCTTGTTGAATGAAACTTCCGCCCAGCTGTAAATATTATTTGAAAACAGATGAGATATCAGTTGTATAAAGAAAAAGAAAAGGCAAGAGGAGGGAAGATGATACTGCAGGTTATAGTAGCTACTGTACCATGCATGGTAAAAATCAATTAGTCAGATCAAATTCTTCAAATCGCTTCTTGAAACCTTCTGCCATTTTTATCTCATCTTCTTTGCTAAGCTTACAAGACCTCCAGTCAGCTCTATCAGTCAAATTCAACAGACCAGCAAGAACCTGCAAAAATATTCTACATGACAGTGAGTACTGAGTACATGACATTTCTTTCTGATATCCCCCTTAACTCTTTCCCCAAGAACATGTACTAGTTACTTGGTCTGGAAAAAAAGTGTTGTTATTCAGTAGAGAAAAGCCAATAATATCAGCATACCACCATATCAAAACCCCCTCCCTCACTCAAAAAAGGAAAAAAAGGACTAATGATTACCAAGAAACTAATTACATTTCAGCCACAATAAATCAATAATGTCAAGTTTGATATGTAAACACCAAATATTCAAAAGGAAATATGAGTAATTAGCACCTTATAAATTAATTCAAGCAAAACCCATACCCTATGTCCTTAGCGAAGTTCATCTAATAGCAACTTAGGCAGCATTTTGTAACATTTTTCAGAACATTTCGGATATTCCAGGAGCAAGAGAACAACTATTTTTTGCTCCTGCAAATTGATGCATGACATGCAAATAATTGATTCAAAATGTAAACATTGTCTCTGATGATTGTAACCACCATCAAATTGCATTAAATGTCAGATTGCAAGTTAAGTATAGCTGAAGTTCTTGGGATTTTCCTGCCATGCCCATACCACATTGCATAACACCTTATAAAGTGTAGTGTGGTTCAAACCATGTGGTTTCAACCACGCCATAGTGGGGCCCATTAGGTTCAAAGACACCACACTATCAAACACACTCTAGATTGCAAGAAAATCCTTCGATGATGGCATTAAATAAGAAATCATGTGAATTTTGGCATACTCTGCATCTTTGCACAAAAGGCCTAATTCCTTTTCCAAATGAGCTCAAGATGAGAAACGCAAAAGCAATGTCAGCCCACTTACGTGCAGATTAGTGTCAACTCATAAATTAACGACAATAGGGAATAACAGTCTGATGTTCACAAGGGCAATATATTAATAAACAGAACATAATGATTCTTAGGTCATTACCACAACTATGGGTGAGAAAATGAGAGAAGGATCAAATGTAATAGTTCATTCATTGGTAGCTTGGAGGATTAAAAGCATGACTATTGCTTTCCAATTGCCTGTTTTTGCATTAATTGCTATTCTTTTAATCTTATTGATTAGTGTAGACTACTGAAGGTTGGTGAAGTAATAACAAGGTATTTTACAGTAGATCATTATGGATTGGATTAGTCTTTCTGATAGGCAACCTTAATCCTCTCATCTCTTGAACCCATTTGTAACATTTCCTGAATTTCAAGATGTTCTTCAAACCAATCATTTACTTTATTGAGATAGGTAACCCAAGAAGACCCACTCTAAGAACCGTATATGAGAATTTCATCACATACAGCTCGAGCAGAAACACCCAAATACTAGTCACAACGGATATGTAATAGAAAGTTTTAAACTTTTTAGTCCCATGATTCCATTTTCCCCGAAAATACGAAGGAACAAAAATCCGGAAGCTCCTCTTTGTGATGATAATGCCAAAATATCAAGTCGGCTCATTTGTCTTTATGTTGATCATTACAAGCCTCTTGAAACTTCTCTTTTCCTATTTCTTTATTTGATTTTTAATTTTTATTATATGTAATGTGAATTTATTATTGTTTATTATTGATAGGAACTATCTTGTTGAGACCCTATGAATCGATTAAAACCTCATATTCATAGTTTCATAATAGAACCATGATGCCAACCAACCTAAATTTAGTTTTAGAACAATTAAAGTGTTGGCTATAGACAGGTAGAGGTGGAAGGGGATTCAAAGTTAATTTCATGTGCAAATTGAAATAAACACACCCTGTGGACTCTCAAACATGCTTTTAGGGAGCAGAAAGTATTGCAACGGAAGTAAATGCTGAATTCAAGTGGGTAAGGAGTGCATATGGAATGGCTTATTCCCTTGCTAAACAAGGGGTTATGAGTAGGGGTGAGCATTAATCGGTTAAAACCGAACTGAAAATTTTGGTTTCGGTTTTTGGTTAATTCGGTTTGTTTTTTTTTTGGTTTTTAAATATTTCGGTTTTTAGAATTAGAAATTCAGTTAACTGAAAAAACTGAATTAACCAAACCTTGCTATATAGCATGTAATATATAATATATAATATATTATGTTTAATATATAATATAGTATATATTTTTGAAATTCGGTTTTAACCAAAAACCAAACTGAAAATTTCAACTTCAATTATTTCGGTTTATTCAGTTCGGTTTTTAACCAAATAAACCAAATGCTCACCCCTAGTTATGAGGCAGCAACTGTTTTAGGCTTCAGGCTTCTATGTAAATTTGAATTGGTTTTTTGGGGGGTGACAGTCGTGTCATCTAGTTGTACTAATCTCATCTATAAGCAAAAATAATAAATTATCTCTTTGACAGATAAGAAAATAAAAAACAATTTAAGTGTCAACAGCCATAGATAGATAAAGTACTGCAGTAAATTTTTTTCAAACCACCTCTTCATCAGAACCCAAAGCCCAGAACTTAGTGCATACTGTAGGTTTTCAAGACTGCTATTCAGTCTTGATCACTAAGAGATTTCAGGTTCAATGAGAAGGGAAAGTGAAGAAGATGAAGAAAGAGTGATGGAAGAGCAATAGAACACAGATTTTGAGGAGAAGAACAGAATGTCAATATTCTGC